TGCTGCTTGGCCTGCTGTGTTCATCCAGCCCTGCACCTTGTTGTCTCAGACATGGGGAGAATGTGCAAACTCCACACAGTCAGTTGACCGAGGCTGGAATCGAACCCTGGTCCCTGGGGCTGTGAGGCAGCAGTGCTAACCACTGAGCCACCATTTTTGGGATGACTTTTACATTTGAAATTTATCAAGTATATTTTTCTGTCATTTACAAAAGCTGATCACCTCAGCCAGAGTTACGTCCCTATTGCACATTTTCTAATCTCCGTTCTTGACGGTTTCTTGTTAAAACCCAAGAGAAACAATCTGATGTACGTACACATGCAACCTTTTCTTTGAACCAGTTAAAGAACCAAACAAGCAATCCACAGAAGAGAAAATAAATCATTTTTATGATGATGGTTTCCTCCATTCATCAAGGATAATATAAAAGCATCAACCTTAAACGTTGACTTTTTAATTTAACTTGATGAATTATCGGCCCTGCTCTTAACATTTACACTTCATAAACAGGTCTCACCATAGCAATCGTTACTTGGTTACCGTCAGAAAAATTGTCATTCAGCTTCAACCTATGCAATTGCTTCAGCACTTGAACAGGATTATAGTTTTGCCTACGTCTGACTGGAGAGGTTAACTTGTATGATTACAGCAGCTTCATCTGTGTCTGCGATGAAACAGGATTACAGTTTGTTTCCACAATTAGAACTTGTGTGCTTATTAGTGAAGCAGATGCCAGTGTTGGGGAGCTGAAAACGTATTCCATTTTGAATATGAATTCTTACTCTACATTTGAAACTGGTCACGTATGATCAATCTTTTGTGTCACTGCTTATACTAAGTCAGGGCCGGAAAACAGAACTTGGTTTTGCCCTTATGTATCAGGACCCCAATGCCAGGATAAAGTATTGATCAGAAGCCTGCACTGAGAAACATTTGCTCAGCTCTGATTTTCCCAAATTGGCAAGTTAATGGTTAGAGGCAAGTTAATGGTTCAGTGTACAACTAGAATTATTGAGGGGGCACTCAAGGATGGCATGCTAATAGTAAGATGCCAGTTCAGGTAACAGAGAGAGAATTTTTTGCCAGGGCAGGTGGTGGTGCAGGTGAAGCCAGGCAGATGGGGAAACCCTCAAGCCAGGGGCTGTTCCCCTCACCCCTGTCCACCACAGATAGGCAGCTCCGCAGACCCAGAAAATGACAGGAAAATACTCCAGTCAGCAAGAATGAAGCATTTCGCCAAATAAAAAGGCAAGTTGTTGCTTTTGTCGCGTTTATTTGACCGTCTTCCCATCACTGGGCATTAACAAAGCAGTGAGATTAGTATACCATGAGAAGCACAAATGATATTTTTCAAGGATAGTTAAAGATATTGGGTGGAATTTTATCATCCCTGACCAGAGGTTTTGATGGTGGGATTTGAGGATGGGGGTTCTTAAAGACACAGCAGGCAGTCAGCCTGCCATCTATCCACTCACCTCCCCTGACCTGATGCCCCCCCCTCCACTTTTAACAGGATGCAGGAGAGGCATCAGGTGATCTATGAAGGTGTTTAAGAGACCAAATAATGGGCAACGTAAGGGCCTCAACCCATGGTGCACCCACACTAGTGGAGCTGACAATCACTCCCTTGTGGCTTTAATTTTGTGGGTTGGCATCAACAATGACTACGCCCTCCCCCAGGGTCATATCCCACTCTTGACCCATTCTACCCCCTCCCATTCCACACACTAGCCTCTTAAACCCAGAGCCCCTGAGCCACTCACTCCCCTGACTGGGATCTGATGGCCAGACCCCAAGCCACTTGCCTTCAGTCTGGCCTCCATTAGTTCTTTTAGTTCAGGGCCCAGCTGTGGTCCTGCTTGACCCTGCTGCTGCTCACTCTCCAAAGTTACAAATTCCTCCCCGGATGGGGGTGGAATTCTCACTCTCAGGCAACTAATACCCTGTGGAGCGCTGAGCAGCTATTGTCTCTGAGCCCTCTTCGAGCCAAACCCCACCACCCAAAGAATCTACCCATGAGTTGTGACATACTTGTGACTGAAAGGTTTCACAGTTGCAACAAGTCTCTGAGAGAGCAAAGGAATAGCAAGCGATGTGGTCAGTGGTACTGTTCTCACAAAAAGAACTGCACAGAATTATAAAATACTTAGAGCATAGAAATAGGCCATTCTGCTTAACAAGCCTTCGCTGAGTTGATAGCTCACATAAGCCTCCTCACACATCTGCCTCAAAGCCAAATCAGCATGTGCTTCTATTCCTTTCTCCCTTTTTTCTCCCACTCACGGAATGAGGGCCTCACTGCCCAGAGAGCAGTTAAGAGCAGTTAAGAGTCAATCACATTGCTGAATCCGGAGTCATGCGTAGGCCAGACCAGGTAAGGATAGCAGTTTCCTTCTCTAAAGGACATCAGTGAACCAGATGAGTTTTTCCGACAATCAACAATGTTTCCCTCAGAATTCAATTTAGCTGCTGTCCCCAGATCTCACACATTAATTGAAGCAAGAACCTACACATTTAACTTTAAGAAAACAATAACTTCATGTGATATCGTCTTCCTTGCAGGGTATTTCATTTCTGTTACAGCAGATTGACACAGAAACACTGACCTGTGAAAGTGAGCAATGAAGGTTTTTTGGAAGTCAGCACACAGGCGTTCAATGTAGAATAAGTGGGACCTGTTAAGCTGCGGATTGATTCCATCCCTTCCCCAGCTGACCTTGTACTCATAAATATTGGTGTGCCGAAGCTGCAGAGCAGAACATTGATTATTACCTTCTTGTGCAAACACATCAGGCAGCAAGGAAAGTCATTAGGTCTTGATAAAGATAAATTCACAAAGAGCCACCATAATTGAAAGTAACAATGGCTGTCAACTAAAAATGAGCAGGTAGGAAGGAATAGAAGGGACAAGAATAAAGGAGTTTCCTCTGGTTTTTTTTATTCATTCACAGGATAAGGGAGTCACTGGCTCGGCCAGCATTTATTGCCCATCCCTAATTGCTTTGTGTCTGGAGTCACATGTAGGCCTGACCAGGTAAGGATGCCTGTTTCCTTCCCTAAAGAACATTAGTGAACCAGATGGGTTTTTCCAACAATAGATTCATGATCATCATTAGACCCTTAATTCCAGATCCTTTACTGATTTCAAATTTTACCATGGCAGGATTCAAACGCAGGTCCCCAGGACATTTCCCAGGTCTCTGGATTAACAATCCAGCAATAATACCACAAGGTCACTGCCTCCCCTTATGTGTGCTAAGTAAAAGGTCGGGACAACGGTAGTGTAAAGATAATGTCACTCAACTAGTAATTCTACAGGTTCAGGTTAATGCCCTGATGACATGGGTTCAATTAACCTGTGGAAGTTAAATTCAAATAATGAAAACTGGTTTCATAATAGTAACCCTGGAGCTATCATCAAATGTCAAAAATAATTTCTGGTTCACTAATGTCCTTGAGGGAAGGAAATCTACTGGCCTTCCCCTATCCAGCTTACATGTGACTCCAGACCCACATCACTGTGGTTCACTAAGGAATGGGGTGGCAAGCCAATCAATTCACAAACAGAGGCCTTACCAGCGATGCTCATGAAAGAACAAAACTAGAGATTCAGTGCTTGTTGTTGATACAGTGTGGACCGTACAGTTGTCCACATAGCACAGAGGGGGTCATGGTGGCTCAGTGATTGGCACTCCTGCCTCACAGCGCCAGGGACCTGGATTCAAATCCTCAAGCGACTGTCTGTGTGGAGTTTGCACATTCTCCCTCTGTCTGCATGGATTTCTTCTGGGTGCTCTGATTTCCTCCCACAGTCCAAAGATGTGCAGGTTGGGAGGATTGGCCATGCTCAACTGCCCACAGTGTCTAGGCATGTGCAGGCTAGGTGGATTGGCCATGGGAAAAGCAGGGTTACAGTGATGGAGGAGGGGTGGGTCTGAGTGGGACATTTGTGGACAGTTGGGGTAAACTTGATGGGCTGAATGGCCTGCTTGCACACTATAATGGTTCTATTCTACACAGGAAATCTCTCCTTTAACAACTTGCTCATTGGTACACAGACTAATTGTCGATTAAAGATTCTAATTTTGTATATTTGTTTTAAGGCACAGGCACAAAGGTTATCCTCATTTCCTCGAGTTGCTCGTAACTTGTGCTAATGGCAATTCCTTCACTTGTTCAGAGAAGAAATATTATTTCTACGTCGTCCTTTCACAACCTCAGGATGATCCAGAATCCACTACATAATCATTTGAAGTCTTCTTAAAACTTTAATCATTGCTGTAATATTACACATATGGTAGTCAATCTGTGCACAGCAACATCCCATCATCAGTGAAGTGGTTACCAACACAAAATTTGTTTCTGGGATGTTCGTTGAGAGAGAAATGTTGGCCAGTACACCAAAAGAATGCGTATGTTCTTTAAATAGTGCCATGTGATCTGTTTTACCCATGGGAGAGGTCAGACAGGGCCTTCTGAATATCTCATCTGAAACGCTGCACCTTTTATAGTACAGCACTACTCCCTCAGTACTGTGTGGAGCTGGAGGAACACAGCAGGTGAGGCAGCGTCAGAGGAGCAGGAAAACTAACATTTCGGGTCGGGACCCTTCTTCAGAAATGGCCCCAACTTGAAACATCAACTTTCCTGCTTCTCTGATGCCGACTGGCCTGCTGTGTTCCTCCCGCTCCACACTGTGTTATCTCTGACTCCAACATTTGCAGTTCTTGCTATCCCTCAGTACTGCACAACTTTTGTGTTCATGTCTCTGGTGTGAAACCTGAGCACACAGCTATTGGACTTAGGTGAGATTGCTGCTACTGAGCTACAGTTAAGCAAACATTGAGTACTTCCTCCCAAATTCTTTCAGCTTGACTGAAGTGTGAAAACACTGTTAATGCCTGTTCAGATCTGGAGCTTTAGCAGCATCAGAGGTGCAATGCAGCATGGAATAGACAAAACCAGCATGCAGGATAGCAGCTGAAGTGAAGGAAAAGACAGCAAACCATAGACCATTGTGATGGGTTTGACTATACATGTTGCAAACTTTGATGGGGTACAGGCTTTATCATGACCATTATAGCCACCAGCTATGATGTAGCATTTCTGCATTTGAAAAGACAAAACTGTCAGTAATGCCATGTAATTTGGCTAAAACATGAATGTTGTACACTGAAATGGACGATCATAATCCAGACAGGCTCTTCAGGACACAGTTTACTGTGGGCTTCGAGGGAGCAAACCTGCTCTCCTGGATCCTCCAACATAAGGATCCAGCAACAATGATTGGGCAGCTTACAGATCCCTTTAAGGAAGAGCAGTGAGGACACGGAATGCCTGGGCTACATGCAGCACCTGAATTTGGCAATCAGGTCCAGGATCCCAATTCTAACCTTCAATGGTTAGAAGCAAAGGTATGCCCCATTAATTATAAACTGCCTTTCTCGGAGCCAGGAGAAGGTAGTGCCAGCTGAAATCTCTCTTCAATATGTCTGCCCTCATTTAAGAGCTTATCACATCACTCCTATCTTCCCAAAACAAGTTTGATCTCTTTCAATTACTCTGCAGCAGTTCATTTCATTGCAAATGTAAAATCAGTCTAAGGAAACAAAAGTCATTAGTTGATTGAATGGGCTAAACTTATTTAAAATTTGGCAAGCACAGCATTGGCAAAGGAGGCCCACAACTCCTGATTCCATCATGAATTATGAATAGCTGGAACTCATTTGACCCATTGTTCAGGTGTAGAACGGCATATCCAATTTAACTAAAGTGTTCATATAATTCAGTTGGATATAAATTATATTGTGTATCACATTGTTTCCACAGCCAAATAGGTGCCACTTGTTTCCTTTTAACATCGTCATTTCTTCTTTTCAATGCTGCAGGAGCGAACTACAACAGGTAAAGTGTGGCTCAGCCATACTGACCAATATATGTCACTGGCTACGTAGAAACATAGGAATAGACCATTCAACCCCTTCAGCCTGCTCCACCATTCCGTATGATCATGGCCAATCATCGAGCTCAGTACCCTAATCCTGCACCCCCCAACCCTGTCCCCCAATATCCCTTGATCCTTCTAGCCACAAGAGCTACGTCTACATTTTTCGTGAAAATACAATGTTTTGGTCTCAACCACTTTCTGTGGTAGTGAATTCCGCAGGCACATCACACTCTGGGTGAAGAAATTTCTCCTCATCTCTGTTCTAACTCTCACCTGACAATCTCGCAAACAATCTCAGCATTTCCAGATTGGAAAAGGGGGGAAGATTTCCTGAAGACTTTTGTTCTTGAGCACTGTCTGGGGTTCTAATAAAAGTGGATACTCCTACTGCCCTCTGGAACCAACCCAGGCTCTAGTCCACTCTCCTGGGCTGGGCCTCATAGCTTAACCATAGTTGGATCCCAGACACTGAGTGGGTACCAACCAGGGCAATTTGGAGAATTGCAGTGGTGGGATTGTGCCTGTTGTTTCCACAGTGGGCAGGGGGAGGGTGGGGGGTGCGGTATGGGGGAAGGGGTGACCTTAAAGCAGCAGGAGTGTCCAGTGGAATGCAGGAAATCTCACGTTGAAATCCCTGGAGTCCAAAACCTCATACAATTCCCCGGCTCCCTGCACTGAGTACATTGGAGATGCTTCTGACACTCTTTGGGTTCCATCACTGCATTCTCCATGTGGTCCTAAGGAGTTACACATGTAAATACAAATTGGGGAGTTTTGTCACTTTGGAGACAAGACGAGGAGAATTTTGTTTTTGCTCAGAGGGTTGTGAGCCTTAGGAATTCTCTACCACATAGAGGGCTGTGAAAGCTCAGTCTTTGAGTTTGTTGAAGGTCAAGATTGACAGATTTCTGATTACCAATGGCATAAAGGTTGATGGGAACAAGTAAAGGGCATAGGAATGTTTGATCACATATGATTATATTGAATGGTGGGGGAGTCGCGATGGGCTGAATGGCCTACTCTTGTTCCTATGTTACTAATTATTTCTTCTTGACAATGTGGACCAACAAAACCAAATTACACTCTTCCCACTTACATACCCTTGGTCCATTGCCTACAATGCCCTGACACTTCAACTGCCTGTCCAGATGCTTCTTCAATGCTATGAGAATACCTGCCTCCACCACCCTCTCAGGCTGCACGTTCCATATTTTTACCACACTCTGGCAACATAATTATATCAGCATAACCAGAAAATTGAACTGTAACCCATTGTGAGCAGGTCATTTAGCAACGGAAGTGAGATTGTGTGTGTGTGTGAGTGCGTGCACACGTGTGCAGATGTTGAAAGAAATGGTACAAAAGTGGATACTTACTGATCACTCAATTACTTTGGATACAGTAAGGGAACTACGTGTAACATTTTACAATGCAAATGCAAACCTGAGTTGGCCGATGCCGCTCGTCCCATGATAGCTTCAAAGGTGGTGCCAATACGTGAAAATGGAGGAGCTATTGACTTATATGAGCAAGTCTAACTTTAAGTGTATAGCGCTGGCTGAGTCAATGATAGCAATGTGTGCTATCCTTTTCATTTTGTCACCAACTTGTAGTCCCTAGAATGAAATGAGGAAAATGCTGGGCAAGTTATGTTTTTAATCAACCGACTGAAACCCAGTGATGAAAACCGCTGAATTTGAACAAACTAAAGTTCACTTGCAGTTGAAAAGGGTGAGTGAGAGATAGCAGAGGAAGTGGGCTGTGTGGACTCGGAAGGCTCTCGGAGTTTCAGGGACTCAGTAGCATCACTTCGCGCAGGAGCAATACTGTCCTGGCATCGGCTCATCAATGTGAGCAAGCTTCAGTATACACACGTACACAAGCCCGTATACACATGGGGTGCTGTTCCTGGCCACATGGATATGTGTCAGGAGTTACAGGGAAAATGAAAGTTAATTCTGTTTCTTCTCAAAAAAGAAGAGGTGTCGCTTTGGTTGATATATCAATTTTGATTCTTTCACACAATTATTATTCTTGCATATATTGTATCACAAAGACTCTGGCATATTTGTCTTTGAGATCTGTACAATGCAACCCATGCAATTTGTCTCAGTGGCAGAAACTGTACAATAACAAAGTCCTGCCAAAGAGTTGCTAAAACTCTGGACTTGCTCAGAAGGCGGTCGGCATAGACATGGTGGGCCAAAGGAACTGTTTCTATTCTGTATGACTCTATTATGAGTATAACTGCTGTCCACCCTTGCATTGGCATTCTCATTCAGTAGATATAAAGGATTGGGTAGCAACAGTGTTTCAGCAGGAAGCATCACCAGTCCATTTTGCAGCCTCGTGCGATTTATAGAAGGATTTCTTTTCTCTTCCCCTTTTTGCTCAGAGTAGGCAAACTAATCCTTTGAGTTCCAATTTCTAAATCAGCCACGTGCCATCCAGATATGTGGCTGTGCTCAGGGTGGGCGCGCTCACTTCTGGACTTGAAGGAGGAACTTTTCAAATCGCGACCTGGTCCATTTTTTGAGAAGGAGGAGAAAAAAATGCATGTCCTCAAATCGTACTGAAATCATTCAAAGCAGGGCCCGTTGTTGAGTAGCATCATCATGGATATTTATGGTTGTTCTTCTTGTACCAATTGGGACACAGACAGCAGGATTTTCACACACGTTTCTGGACCCTGAAGGGAACCTGGGGGCCCAGATGCTATTTTTGCCGAGATCCAGACTGGGGCAGCCAGTTTGAAAGGGGCTACTTTTCATGAGGCCTCCTAATTGTCCACCATTGAGCCCGGCATTTGTTCAAAGGTAGCAGACATGCTTCTAATGCTGCTGGCTGCTCCAGGGACTGGTAGCACCAGAGCCTCGGAGGCCCCAGTGGATGATGTGATGCTGCTGATGCATCTTGGAGAACATGAGAGTGCTTTGAAAGGGAAGCACACTCAGGGTTGTTGGTAAGTTTGAAATTAGATATCAGAGGGGTCAAGCCAAGTGGGGAAACTCCTCTGGTGGCAGGGTTGGTGTACTGGTGGTATCTACCTGCCAATAGCCCCTTCTGTGGGAAATGGGGCCTGCAGCTGCTGGTTCCCCAGGCTATTGTGGAGAGGCTGCCTCCATTATAATCATGGCTTGCCCACATGGCACGATCCTTCTCTACTGCTGGAAAAATGCTGCCAGTGCTTGGATAATTGCCTCTAGATGAGACCTTAGTTACTATAACTGACTGCCTGCCTCCAATTAACAAACAAATAATCCCAGTAGAAGCCATCACTGGAAATGTCTCCAATGAGGAGAAGCCATCCTTACATGGCTCTCTGCTATTTATCTGCAGTTCCCACACATCCCCCATCTTTGAGCCCATCATCCCGTGGCTGGGAAAAGCTCTGCTTTGCATTTCAACTACATGATCACTACTTGACTCTAGCCATCATACCTTATGCTACATTTCAGCTGGCAAAGGCCTATTTAAGACCCATCATAGCGAAGGGCACACTGGTTTCTATAGAGACTAATAACCTTTAAACAGAAATGTTAGATCCCAAAGATCAATTTAAATAATTACATGACAAGATTTCATGTTTTAAGACTTTTACTGTAAGGTACAAACTAAAAGGCAACATCTACTAAACGTTATTCCAGTAGCTTTTCTCCATGGTAGCCTAAAATCACAGAATTCTTGGATTGAGGTAGAATTGCTAATTAGCTATCCTTTAGGCTCTCAACTCCATTCTATTGCTAAACCATTTACAAAATCTGATTTTCTTGAAATCTTCCTTGGAGAATAACTTCGGAAACAAACAGTCAATCCACTGTCAGCACAAATACTTCTCCCGTCGTCTATAAGTGTCAATATCTTATACATTCTTCTCATTAAAACAACTGGAACTCCCTTGAATCCTTAGTCTAACTCCCCAGGTTTGCTGCCAGTAGAATCCAGAACAGCTACGTTCCTCCTAACAAGTTTTACCATCGCATTGATCTCCAAAGTCCATACACAGCGATGACTTCCAGAACTACAAGTCATTATGTCGGCATGTGTGTTTTCGGTGTGCATGGAATGTCTGAGCAGCTTAGAGGGAATGCTGAGTCGTATGATTCCCACTGTTTCTCCATTTTCCTGAATTAAATACATAGTCTCAAAACATAACAATCTCATGAAACTCACATCTGCCAGCATTGTATGACTCAACTAATTCTTCAAACCAAAAGCAGGCATATGTATTGGGAGGAAAACCTGGATGGAGTGGAAACAGACGCAAAGATGAATATCTCAAGAATAGATAAAGACGGGTCTTTAAAGGATCCTGTTCATACATTTAAATCTAATGTGGTATTATATCAAAACAATTCATACCAATAATACAAGCAGCTATGAATTATTACCTTGGCATGAATGCTTTCCAGAAACTGTGTGTGGGCTTCATACAATTCTTTGTTAATTTCTGGCAAACGTGGACAGACATCAATAAAATCTGCAGCTTTCTCACTTGACAGGTTGCATTGGATGTCAGTGATATACCGTTTAAACCAATGGCAATGATCCTCTGGAGGTCCCGTTGTCTGTAGACCCTGGTTAACCTCGCGTTCTATAACTGGAGTTAAATTTTTAGAACAGAAAGAGAAATTGATTCTTGCTTTCCCAAAAAGGCCATTGATTTGATGAATTTCCTAACAGAGTCATCAAGTGGGTAGCGATATCGGTGGCAAGTCTAATCACCACCAAGACAGTCATCAGGATTAGATCATCGGATGGGTTGCTCTGGTACAGGTACAAATGAAATCACACAAAGGTAGCCTCACAGAGGTGAAGTGTAAAAAAGCACAGGGAATGGAGAATGAAGTAATAAGATTATGGAAACCAGTCCAAAAAGACTCAAAGATCAGAGGGCAGGAAGAGGGATTATACACAGTCAAGGGACACTATTGCTCACATGGCCCCAATACTGTGGTAAAAAATTTGGTCTTAAGCAATCAAATAGGGAATTTTCAAAACGGTGAAGTTAGGTGGCATTTATTGATGAAATGAAAATTTGAGACGGGACAGCGGTTGATGGGGACAGAGTGTTCAGACATGGACTCTTGCGGCTGATGAACACAGACCAGTGACTATGAGCAGAACAGTGACTGGAGACACTCCGACAAGTGATGTGATTGATCAGGAATTAGGTGTCAGAAGATGAAGTGGCTGAAAACGGAGTGAAGAGAAGTAAGAGTCAATACAGGGTGGAGCTGGAGCAACACAGCAGGTCAGGCAGCATCAGAGGAGCAGGAGAGTCAACATTTCGGGCCTAGGCCCTCCATCACAAGGCCTGGTGAAGGGTGTAAACCTGAAACGTTGCCTTTCCTGTTCCTCTGGTGCTGCCTGACCTGCTGTGTTCCTCCAGCTCCACAGTGTATTGAATCTGACTCCAGCATCTGCAGTTCTTGCTATCTCCTGAGGAGAAGTAAGTAGTAGTTTGGGCTGGGATGAAATATAGGAGGGTAGCAGGAGGAAGGAGAGAATCTATGCTGATCTTTGACATAAAATAGTCTGTGGCTCCTTCCCTTTGGGTCAAGGAATTGGTGGGAAGGCAAAAGATGTGACAATATCAATCCAAGATTTTAACTTTCCATATTAATTAGTGAGTTGTCAATCACTATTGACACACAGAAAACAAACTGGACTATCTCTGCCCCATAGGACGGCTTTAGCTGCTTGTCACATCCTTATTGTGCTTCCTTTTAGAATACCATTCCCATTTTAATTATTCTTGCTCTCTTTTTCCTATAAGAAAGTAGAACTAGAGAAGTCACATTTAAAGGATTCTGTGTGATTTATATCTACAATGCTGTGACTGTGCAATCACATCCTTCCTACCGTGTGGTGACCAGGACTGCACACCAACACCCTTAACTCATCACGAAATTCTGGAATTGGAAGCTTATCTCAGTAACAGTAGCCATGAAATTACCAATAATTGTTGTGAAGACCTTTCTGAATTTGGCAGTGGAAGCAGAGTGAATATTTTTAAGGCAGAGATAGATAGATTTTTGTTAAACAAGGGGTTGTGAAATGTTATTGGGATATGCAGGAATGATCTCATTGAACAGTGAAGCAGGTTTGAGGGGCTGAATGGCCTGTTTAGGCTCCTGGTTTGTACGCCTGCATGGCTCACTACTGTCCTGTTGGGAAGGTAAGAAATCTGCCATCATTATCCAGCCTGGTCTGTATGCCATTCCAGATCCACAGCAATGTGACTCACTCTTAACCACGCTCAGAGATGGACAAAGAAGCCACTCAGTCAACAGCAATTACAGATGGACAACACATGAACACATCCCATGAAAGAATATTTTTCAAAAAGACAGCATCTTTGCAGATAGAATGTATTTCCCACTGTGGGCGAGAAACAAGATTTGGAACTATTCTGGGTCCTAACACTGCTGGGTATGTTTAGCATTTCCAGCAATTAACTGCAAATATACTGATGAAATTGGATAGCAGTTTCTGTATCCTCCTAACAATTCTTTTAACAATTACTTAATGTTAGGATTTGTAAAGTAATTGTTATAACTATTAGTTTGAAAACACTCTGTTGGTCGTCCTATGTAAAGTTATTATGCTTATTCTTATTGTTACTTCACACTTAAAGCCATTCCATCATTACCTGTCCTTAGAAGATTTGAGGCTCTTTCTTTACCGAGTGCCAAAGGTGCATTTTCCTGGAGAATACTATATAGCTTCTGGGCAGAACTTGACCAATTATTCTTTGAATGCTGTCTACGTGAAGGATCCATACTGTAAATGTCTCTGAAGTGTGTCCTACATTGGAAATGAAAGCTCAGATTTAGAGATTTTAGCAAGGAAACCTGCCTATTTCCAAAGTTCTGCACAGGGATTAAACTATAATAAGAAACAGACACAAAATAGTTTGATAATAAGGAGGTAAATTTGATTCGGGGCCAAACAGCCATTTAAATTTTATTCTGCTCGCAACTATAGCAAACCATTATCACACAAATAGCAAAACTACTGCTTTTCTCACTGTACAGGTTTGTCAGCTGGTGTCAAATAACAGTATAGCTTCAGTCTCTACAGTAGCAAATCTAGCCACTATCTGATGCTCCCCTGTATCTGCAGAGTACCTCTGATCTTGAACTCCATCATGAGGATTAACAATCCACCCTGACATAGTCACTGCTGACTCTCAAATCTTTTCACCACAGTTGACATTAATTCTTTTCCCTCAGCCTTTTTTAAAACCTCTTCATTTACCAAATTTCTGTCAGCTCAGTGGCTGACTTTCACCTTTCACCTTTTAACTCTGCAATCAGTAATGACTGATTGGATATTATAACATTGGCTTTGCACAAATTGCTTGCAACGTTTCTGACAATGCAGCAATGCTTCACAAAAAGAACCAAACTGCCTGTAAAATGTCTAGTGAATCCTGTAAGCCTGAAAGTCTCTAGATACATACTTATATTTCTTTGTGTCATAGAGAGCAGAGAATGGGGATAAGAGGGTCTTTCTCAGGATGGCAGCCGGTGACAAGTGGTGTTCCACAAGGGTCAGTGCTGGGACCACAACTTTTCACTTTGTACATTGATGATCTAGATGAAGGAACTGAGGGTATTCTGGCTAAGTTTGCAGATGCTACAAAGATAGGTGGAGGGACAGGTAGTACTGAGGAGGTGGCGAGGCTGCAGAAGGATTTGGACAGGTTAGGAGAGTGGGCAAAGAAGTGGCAGATGGAGTACAACGTGGGAAAGTGTAAGGCCGTGCTCTTTGGTAAGAAAAATAAAAGCATGGACTATTTTCTAAATGGGGAGAAAATTCAGAAATCTGAAGTGCAAAGAGATTTGGGAGTTCTAGTCCAGGATTCTCTCAAAGTAAACTTGCAGGTTGAGTCAGCAGTCAGGAAGGCAAATGCAATGTTGGCATTTATTTTGAGAGGACTTGAATAAAGAAGCAGGGATGTACTACTCAGGCTTTATAAGGCTCTGGTCAGGCCCCATTTGTATTGTGTGCAGTTTTGGGCCCCGTATCTCAGGAAGGGTGTACTGGTCCTAGAGCAGGTTCAGAGGAGGTTCACGAGAATGGTCCCAGGAATGGAAAGCTTAACATATGAGGAATATCTGAGGGCTCTAGGACTATACTCATTGGAGTTCAGAGGGATGAGGGGGGATCTAATTGAAACTTACAGAACACTGAATGGCCTGGACAGAGTGGATGTTGGGAAGATGCTTCCATTGGTAGGAAAGTCTAGGACCCGAGGGCACAGCCTTAGAGTAAAGGGAAGACCTTTTAGAACGGAGATAAGGAGAAACAACTTCAGCCAGAGAGTTGTGAATCTGTGGAATTTACTGCCACAGAAGGCTGTGGAGGCCAAGTCATTGAGTACATTTAAGACTGAGATAGATAGGTTCTTGATTATCAAGGGGATCAAGGGTTACGGGAAGAAAGCAGGAGAATGGGGTTGAGGAACTTATCAGCCATGATTGAATGGCGGAGCAGACTTGATGGGCCGAATGGCCTAATTTCTGCTCCTATGTCTTATGGTCTTATATGCAATCTGCAAACTCATTTCCCATAGAAACATTTTTAGTGTTGCCCACACAGTGGAGTGCTCCTTACCAAATAAAAACTAAGTCCATCAGTTAGGTTGATTTACAGATGGGAAACTTGTCACAGAAGAGGAATCTGTCAAAGAGGGAACATATACTGTGGAGTTAAAACAGTGCAGTGATTTGTAACAAGGTCAGCCAGGTGGACCTCATGGAATATCAGCTCCCATTGGGGCTGTGGATCTGGTCTAATTAGCAAATCCTGGCTGACAGATAAGAACAGGAGTGTCAGACATCCTGTTCACCCTGAGAGCTGGCTCTGAGGAATCCGGACCAGTGTCATGTACCATGCACATGTAAATAAAGGGCGACTTACCGACCTCTGTGGAGATATTTCAAACGGCGTGTAAGAAAACACAAGCCCTTACAAAACTCCTTCCTCCACAATCCTTTCCTCATCCTAAGGAACCAACTCAGTCAAGATCGAGGCTTTTGGTTCACATGTGTGCGCTCCTTATCTACTCTGATCATCCCACTGTATTCAGCCTCAGCTTGATAGTCATAGGCTAGAGGAAACTTGGCTCCTAGTCAAGTTTGCTGTCATTTCTAAACTTTTATACCAAGGAGAAACTACCAATGATTTCCTTCTTCATACAAATCATCTGCTTCTCTTATTCCTGACTTGGTGGGTACTATTTATTACCTGTTATATATGCTATTGCATTACATTTTGCACAATAATGGAGCCACATTTGTTTTTCCAAGCAGCATTGGCATGTGTTTTAAATTGACTGTTCCTTGCTCAGATACCATACACCCTAGGATGCCACCATGTCTCATATTCCCAGATTTGCCCAGCAATGAATACTGACCCTGATCATACTTGATGTATTGGCCAAAGCTACCAATATGATACACTTTGCTTGTCCACACTATCATTGCTAAGATGGTTGGGACACCACCACCTGCAAGTTCCTCTCCAAGCCACTCAGGATCCTGACTTGGAAATATATCGCCGTTCCTTCAGTGTCACTCGCTCAAAATGCTGGAGCTCGCTCCCTAATAGTGCTGAAATGTACTGCGTCAGTCCAAGAAGGCAGCTCATCACCACCTTCCCAAGGGCAACTAGGGATGGGCAATAAATACTAGCCCAACCAGCGACACCATATTCCTTGAATGATTAAGGAAAAAGTCTCATCTCCTTCCTTAATCATGCAAAAATCAGCCAGGATTAAGCATGTTTCTAACAACTAGAAGAACCCAGCACTGTATTTTTTTACTATTAACCAATGACAACACAGTCAAACATATTTGCTGACATCCCACAATTATTTTACAGTCAATATTCAGTAATGATATCACAGTCCAAGGAATCTTCTTTTGACATCATCTCACCTTTGTCAATAAACCGACTCTTCTTAACCTCTAACATAGTAATAATAAAAATATCATTGATACAGGAAATTTGAAATAAAAACAGAAAATGGTGCAAATACTCTCAAAGTCAATAACATTATGGACAGAGGAGCAAAGTTAACACCCCAGGTCGTGAACATACTTCACAGTTGGAAGGCTGTAGAACTCAGTCTTAGAGTATTTTTAAAGCAGTAGTCGATACAGGCACCAATGTGTTTTATCTGCTCATCACCATCATTGGCAGTCCCTCACAGACAAAGTTGATTCTCTTCCACTCTCAGGGTGAGTTTGTAGGTGGCTGTACAGTCTGATTGGTCTTTCGCAGACTCTACCACATTTGGGGCAGAAGGTGGTTGTGGGAAGGGGTGGGTGGGGCATTGATGTGGCAGCGAATAGAGTCATAGAGTAATACAGCATGGAAGTAGGCCCTTCAGCCCAAACTGGTCCATGCTGACCATGGTGCCCACTCAGCTAGTCCCAATTGTCCGCATTTGGTCCAATTCCCTCTAAACCCTTCTTAGCCTTGTACCTATCCAAATATTTTTTAAATGTTGCTATTGTACCTGTCTCAACCACTTTCTCCAGCAGCTCATTCCATATACACACCACTCTCTGTGTGAAGAAGTTGCCCCTCAGGTCCTTCTTAAATCTTTCCCTTCCCACCTCAAACCTCTGAAGAAGGGTCTAGGCCCAAAACATCAGCCTTCCTGCTTCTCTGATGCTGCTTGGCCTGCTGTGTTCATCCAGCTCTACACCTTGTTATCTCAGACCTATGCCCTCTAGTTTTCAATTCCCCATCCCTGGAAAAAAGACTATATGCATTCACCCAGCTATGCCCCTCATGATTTTATATACCTCAACAAGGTTAACCCCTCATTCTCCTACATTCCAAGGAATAAAGTCCTATCCTGGCCAACCCTTCCCTATAACTCAGGCCTACTAGTCCTGGCAACATCCTCGTAAATCTTCTCTGCAAACTTTTCCAGTTTAACTATGTCTTTCCTATAACAGGATGACCAAAACTGTACCAATACTCCAAGTGCAGCCTCATCAACAACTTATACAACTGTAACACAGCATTCCAACTCCTTCATTTCATGCCTCGACCGATGTAGGCAAGCATGCTAAGTGCCTTCTTCACCACCCTACCTACCTGCGACACAGCTTTCAATGAAATATGGACTTGTACTCCTAGGTCCTTCTGATCCACAACACTCCTCAGGACTTTACCATTTACTGTACAAGTCCTACCTTGGTTTGACTTTCCAAAGTGCAGAACCTCACACTTATCTATGTTGCATTTGAATTGAATTCCATTTGCCAATCCTCAGCCCACTTCCCCAGCTGATCAAGATCCCTCTGTAACTTTTGATAACCTTCTTCACCATCAACGATAACTCCTAATTTTGTATCATCCACAAACTTACTAATCATGCCTTGTACACTCACATCCAGATCATTTACGTAAATAACAAATAACAAAGCTCTCAGCACCATCCCCTGTGGCACACCACTAGTCACAGGCCTCCAGTCCGAGATACAACCTTCAACCATCACCCTCTGCTTCCTACCATTGAGCCAAGTTTGAATCCAATTAGCCAGCTTTCCCTGGATCCCATGTGACCTAACTTTCATGACTAGCCTGCTGTGTGGGACCTTGTCTAAGGTCCATATAGACAACATCCACTGCCCTACCCTCATCCACCCTCTTGGTTACCTCTTCGAAAATCTTTAAAAGATTTATCAGACATGACTTTCCGTGCACAAAGTCCATGCTAACTATCCCTAATTAGACCTTGACTATCCAAGTGTTGGTTGATCCTGTCCTTCAGTATCCTCTCCACTAACTTGCCTACCACTGATGTCAGGCTCACGGGCCTGTAGATCCCTGACGTATCTTTGCTACGTTTCTTAAACAATGGAACAACATTAGCCACCTTCCAGTCTTCCAGAACTTCACCAGTCCGGCACCCTTTTGCTGTTTTCGCCTGGCTTCAGCTTTTTCCTAACAGCAAGTCTCGAGGTGCTTGACAGCTTCCTGGATGCTCCTCCCCCACTTTGGACAGTCTTGGGACAGTGATTCCTAGATGTCTGGTAGTGGAGTCGGCCTCATTAGGGGCATTTAAGCGGCTATTAGATAGGCATATGGATGATAGTTCAAGGTAGGGGTGGAGGTTAGATAGACCTTAGGATTCGGGTAAAAGTTCAGCACAACATCGTGGACCGAAGGGTCTGTACTGCGCTGTACTGTTCTATGTTCTATGTTCTAAAAGTCAAGACCTGGGTCAAATGCACAATGTAAAATGGTTTATGATAATTGCTGACCATTTTAAAACTAACCTTATTGGCTGCAGCCTGTAAACACTGGGAATGCAGTTCTCATCCAGTTTGTACCACTGCTGAAGAAGCCCAATTGCTTTCCCAAAGTCTGGTGTAGACTGAGGTACAGTATCATTTGTGTCATGTGCCTGAGGGACACGGGCAGACTGGATTTCACCGGCTCCAGTGTCACAGCTTTCTGGCACTTCCTTATCTTGTGGAGTTGAAATGTTAGTCAGATCAGGTCGTCCGCTCTGAGATTCCTCACACAGTCCGGGGCCCTCAAGCAGCGTGTGGTGCTCACGGTTGTGTTTTCCACGCTGCCGTTTTGTAGTCTCCAATTTCTTGGCCTCAATAAAGCTCAAAATAGCTTCAAAGTCATCTTTCACGATGCTGTCAGGGAGGAAAAGCGAGTCATGCTTTTGGCCAATTAAAAGCTGCAAGACAAAAGGAGGCTTCATTGTATTGTAACTCCATGAACAACTATATTCAAAATAAAAGCCAGGTCTAACACGCAAAGCAAATCATAGACAAATTTCAATCCATCGGATTATGTTATTATGTATAAATGGATATCCTTTGTCACAGTTCTCTATATATTACTTATCTTCCTTAGTACAAAAAGGGATTCATGACTGAAATCACATTGGAATGCAAAGCTATTAATTGCCTTTGTGGTGCAGTGCTGAATCACCTGTATTCTGTCCATGATCTCAAAAGGGCTTTGTTCTTTGTTTTTAATGGAAAGCATAACAATTCTTGACATTTAAAAAAAAATCCAGCAAATTGAACATGTTTAAATTATCTACAGATTAGACCTGGTTAACCCCCAATTGGAGGACTGCATGCAGTTGTAGACACCTTATTATAAGGATCTGATTGCACTGGAGACAGTGCAGGGTAGCCTTTCTAAGTTGCTGCCTGGGCTGAAGCCAAGAGGCAAGGTGAATTAGGCACTGTTATTCTTTTTCTTGGAGCAGCAAAAGATGAGACCTAATAGAAGGGTATAAGATTATAAAGGGCAGAGTTAAGGCAGTAAAAAGCCAGGCACTTCTTTTTTGATGGTGGAGAGACCAATGACTAGGAGGTGTAGATTTAAGGTAGGAAGTAGAAAGCTAAGAGTGGAGCTGAGGAGAAACCTTTTCACCCAGAGGGTGGTGGGAGTCTGGAACTCACTGTCTGAAAGGATGCTTGAGTCAGAGACTCTCATGACATTTAAAGAGAATTTAGATATTCACAGAAATACCGCTGGAAGATGGGATTAGCATAGACTTTTCTTTGTTGACTGGCATGGACATAGAAGGATAAAATGGCCTCCATCTGTGCTTTAACTGCCTATCAATCCATAATTAAAAGTTTTACGTTGGACTTGTACTTTAATCCTATGAGCAAACCATTGATCAATTTGGTTTCAGTTAGTGTTTACAATTATGCGTTGCTATTCAATTTGCAGTGTCAACTATCGTAGTGTAGTCACAATGTCTGGAACAAGTTTCTGATGCCTCCCCCAACCATCTTACCTTTTACAAAGAATATATAGACCTTCAATAAAAAATGATATAATAATAGTCATATTCATCAAGTGACAGTGATAAGTGACCACTTAATAAATTTTACAGGAAGAGACGCGGTTAACATTTAGACTCAAAACATTAGCTTCTTTCTCTCTCTACAGATGGTTCCAGATCTGCTGAGTTTCTTCAGCACTTTCTGTTATTATTTCATATCACCAGCATCCAGTGTTCTACATTTAATCACTAAATTATGCTCTTCAAACATGTTATGAAAGTGGCAGATACTTAACAAGCATTAAGCTGGCATAAACCAACTCTGTATAAAAGTTTAGAAAAAAAGAGATTGTAAGTTTAAGTTGCCTCCCTAAGAGTAACTTGAACCTGCCAACCTGGTGTCACTCCAAGCAGAACACAGTCTGAAAGAACCTTAAATCTGATCCAACATTTGACCCCGATTGACAATTTATAGACAGTATGCTTACAATAAAAATGGAGCCTTCTGAAGTTTGGCATTCCTTAAGTACTTCGAGATGTAGTCGGACTATTGTATGATTGTCACTAATTCCATCTTTCATGCCCCACCTAAGGTCAACCATCATGACGTCGTAACCCCTTTCTTTGCAATAAGTGCTTAATTGTGGGTATACATTCTTCATTAACGCATTCCTTTCATGTTCTGTATCTGGAATTTTGAAGAAATGTAAGTTATTAAAATTCTGGCCCAATTTATACAAATTCAAAACAAAATGATTTGAATTTGAAGCGTTTCACCAAGACCATTATAATGGGAAGCTAATACTCCAGTCCTAAACTGAGGGTGTACTGCATTATCACTGATAGCACCCCTCAAAGATATTCAAACAACGCACCCAACTTTGAAGCAAGAGAAGTATATTTAACGCCAGATAGTGGTGAGGAGCAGAAATTATGGTGAAAGCAGAATTATTTTTTAAAAGGGAAAAAGATTAATATCTGTAAAAGAAAATTTGAAAAGGTACATGGAAAGGTTGGAGAAACAGAAGTAAATGAATGATCTTTTCAATAGCAGGTAAGAGTGAAATCGTCCACATAGCCTGCTTCCATGCTGTAAAATTTTAGAATTCTACGAGCCACTAGTTCAGCTGAGTGCTGAAAGCCATATTTTAAATTATAGGTGCTGAAGCATGTTTTGCATAATCCTGGAAAGTACATTGCAAAATCAAGAAAGGAGACCCATGACAATTCAGCCAATATGCTTCTACCTAGCATTGATGAACTCTTAGCACAATACTAAGTTCCTAGTTGACAGGTTTCATTTTACTAATTTCAGTTTACTGCTAATATCTCATAATTTTATTTATATCTTAAGTCTTTATTTGTACAGCAATTGCGTTAAAATATAAACTGGACAATTCCAGACTTTTGCTCTTTGAGGTAATTTGATGTTACAATAGTGCAAATTGAGTGATAAGCAATCAGAAAGTTATTTTATATCTCTTGTAGACAAATAGGAGGCTAGAAGAACACAGCAAACCAGGTAGCATTTGGAGGAAAGGAGCAGTCAACATTTCGGATATTACCCTTCTTCGGGACTTGAGTTGCCTGCCTGGCCTGCTGTGTTTCTTCCGGCCTCCTGGTTGTCTACCTTGGATTCCAGCATCTGCAGTTCTTTTTGTCTCTAAGCATTTTATATCTCTTACCATTCTTCTATCCTTTCACTTCAAAGAAATCAAAATTTATGATTTTGTCTGATGTGAAAACGTCTCTCAGAAGAAGAATTACCTTTGTAGCCACCACAAATGTATATCATAATCTTTTTCTTCTTAGGAGAATAGGCTATATTGATATTTCCTTTCATTATTTCAATTAGAGGGTTGCTGGATGTTGAAAGGTGTTTTTCATCTGCCATTAGTAACGGCAGGCTTTTTGATGCTGTCAGACTTGGTAAATTGAAGGCTTTCTGAGATTCTAGACCTGTGCACTCTGCTGTCTGCGATGTTGGGTTTTGATCTGGGCACTCAGGTACACACTGTTTATCCTCAGAATTCGATGCCTCTCCATCCGCAAAACGATGGAGCTCAGTTCCTGAAATTTCAGTTTGCCATGGTCCTAACCCCTGCTCTTCTTCCAGCTCCTTGCAAGAAACTGACACCAAACTCTCTGCTTGACTGCTTGCATCAGCTGGAAGTGAAAAAGTTTCACGGTCATCACAGTCATTTCCAGGATGGCTCATTTGCTGTGCTACCTTTGTTTCTCCAAAGTATCTCAATTCATTCTGCAGACTACAGGACAATAAATCTTCACAGTAACCAGTTGGACTGTTCAGGAGTTGAGGTGATGTGCAGCCGCCAGACTTATATAATGAAATGTTGTATGACTGTTAAGAAAGTACAAACCAAACTAATCAAATTAATTGAGAAGTATTGGTTCACCAAAGCTCATTTCTAAGCAACAAAATTATAAGCACTAATTTATCTACTTTAAGTTTTTATTGAGTACAATACTCAGAGTCATAGAGTTATGCAGCATTCTTTGGTCCAACTCATCCATGCTGACCAAGATTCCCACTGAGCAGCATTTGGCCCATAATCCTCTAAACCTTGTCTATTCATGTACCTATTCAAATGTCTTTTAGATGTTATAAATGTACTTCCTCTGGCAGTTCATTCCACATGTGAACCACCTTCTGTGCAAAAAAGTTCCACTCAGGTCCCTTTTAAATCACTCTCCTCTCACCTTAAAAATATGCCCTCTAGTTTTGAACTCCCCCACCCTAGAGAAAGGATCTTTGCTGTTCATCTTGTCTACGCCCCTCGTGATTTTACTAAACGTCTCTAAGGTCACCCCTGAACCTCCTACACTCCGGAGAAAAAAGTTCCAGCCTCTCCTTACATCTCAAACCCTCCATTCCCAGCAACATCCTGGTGAATCTTTTCTGAACCCTCTAAAATTTAACAATATCCTTCTTACAGCAGGGCGACAAGAACTTTACACAGTACTCTAAAAGTAGCCTCATCAATGTCCCGTACAACCTCAACATGCTGACCCAACTCCTACACTCAATGGTCTGAACAACAATGGTCTTAACTACCCTGTCTACCTGTGACGCCACTTTCAGAGAACTGTGTACCTGAAACCCTAGACCTCTCTGTTCAACAACATTAACTGTATAGGTCCTGCCTTTATTTGTTTTACCAAAATGCAATACCTTGTAGGGATCCAGATTAAATTCCATCTGTCACTCCTCAACCCATTGGCCCAATTGATCAAGATCCCTTTGTAATCTTTGATAACTTCCTTCACTGTTGACTATACGAACAATTTGGTGTCATCCGCAACTAACCTCACTAACCATGCCTCCTAAATTCTCATCCAAATCGTTTATATAGATGACAAACAAAACTGGACCCAGCGCCAATCCCTGTGGAACATCGCTGGCCACAGGTCTCCAGTCCAAAAAACAACCCTCCACCACCCTCTGTTTCCTACTAACAGTCAATTTTGTATCCAATTGGCAAGGTTTCCCTGAATCCCATGTGATCTGCTGTGGGGAACCTTGTCAAAGGCTTTATTAAAGTCCATTTAGACAATGTCTACTGCTCTGCCCTCAGTCATTTTGTATGTCCTCAAAAAACTCAATCAAGTTTGTGAAACATGATTTTCCTCACACAAAACCATGCTGACTATCCCTAATCAGTCCTTGCCCCTCCAAATGCATGTAAATCCGATCTCTCAGAATCCCCTTCAACTTAACCCACTGCAAGCCAACTGATATCAATATTAGATTTAGTGAAACCAAAGCTTTAATGCACAAATATCCAGACTGTGACCTTTACTGATGTGCAATGAATAAAAGAAATTACATTTTACTCTGGGTACTGTTCCTGAGTATGTGCAAATGAAGCTATGTTTTAATAAACGTCAGATCAGATGGAATGGGAGCCTGCGTCTATACAGCTCCAAGACGTCCTCTCTCACTATCCTCATGTGTAAGTTATACACAATAAAGCCTATTGTTGTTCACTCACAAGAGAGTAGATCTCAGCTTACTATAACTTGACTCAAATATTATTCATTGCTACTTGGTTGCAAAAACTGACAGTCCTGATATTATCTTATTATTGGTTGTACATCAGTCATATTTGGCACTAACTTACTGTAAGTTTGGTGGTCATGTTTGCTTTCTACATCCCAACAAATACATAAACCATCAACTAGTCAGTGTTGGCTAGCTTCAATGGTTACTAAACTAAACTAAAATTAATAAATCATTAGGATTATGTTGTCTGGATATATTTCTTGCAGTACGTGTTTCCCATATTAACCTGTCCTAGATGTAAAAAGGTCTTGTCACTCTCTGAAGAGGCTCCATTGTCCTTGTTTACAGATTCATAACTCTGAGTGATCCGCTTCACATGTCGTTGATGCAAATGATTCTGAAATGTAATTAGAAGATTGACACATTAAATGAATGTAAGTACACAGAAACATCGAAGATAGAAGCAGCATTAGACCATTCAGCGCTTTGAGCCTGCTCTTCCATTCAAAATGATCTTGGCTTATCATGAAACTCAGAATCCTGTTCCCACTATATTGCCCAACCCTTTGATTCCTTTAGCCCTAAGAAAATGTTCAATGTTTTGGCCTCAACCGCATTCTGCGGCAGGAAATTCCACAGGCTCACCACGCAGACTGTGCCGCTTGTTTCCAGACTCTCCAGTCATTGGGATCGTTCTTCCTGTGTTTAACCTGTCTAGGCCTTTTGGAATTTTATTAGTTTCTATGCGATCACCCCGTCTATATTTTTATCTCCAGTGAATATAGTCCTAACTGATCCAATCTCTCTTCATGCGTCAATCCTGCCATCTCAGGAATCAGTCTGGTAAACCTTTGTTGCACTCCCTCCATTGCCAAAATATCTTTCCCTGATAAGGAGGCCAAAACTACACACAATACTCCAGGTGTGGTTTCATCAAGGCCCTGTACAATTGTAATTCCTCACCCCTCAAAATCTCAGCTGGTTTTGTGTCAACAGCAAACGTAGAAATATCACATTGGATTTCTTAATGATGGATACTGTGAATGGCTGATGCCCAAGCACTGATCCCTTCAGTACTGCACTTGTCGATGCCTTCCACTCTGAAAATGACCGATGTACTCTTACTCACAAACAAAATCAGAAGTTGTTGGAAAAGCTCAGCAGGTCTGGCAGCATCTGTGAAGAAAAAAATCAGAGTTAACTATTCGAGTCCGGTGACCCAAGCTCAGAACTAGTCTGAGGAAGGGTCACCAGACCCGAATAGTTAACTCTGATTTTTTTTCTTCACAGATGCTGCCAGACCTGCTGAGCTTTTCCAACAAATTCTGTTTTTGTTCCTGATTTACAGCATCTGCAGTTCTTTCGGTTTTTGTTATCTATTCCTACTCTCTGTTTCCTGTCTGCTAAGCAATTCTCAATCCATATTACCACCAATCCCATGTATTATGGTTTATCATAACGTTTTACGCGGAAATTTACCCAAAGCCTTCTCAAAAGTTAGTCTAACGGTGACAATGTAACCACTGCCAATTGTTGTAAAAGCCCAATGGTTCACTACTGTCCATTGGGGAAAACTGTCACCCTTATCTGGTCTGGCTTCCATGTCACTCCAAACTCATGGCAATATGGTAGATTTGTAACTGCCTTTGAAATGGCCAAGCAAGCCACTCAGTCAAATCGTTACAAAGCCTAAAGAAAGGACTGAGACTGGACGCAGGACTTTGCATCAATCTAAGCATTGGAAATAACAACAGCAAAGGCAGCCCTGTCGACCCTGCAAAAGTCCCACTTACCAACATCTCCTACAATGTCCTAGACACTGCCATCACCAACCCTGGGTATGTCCTGACCCACTGGCAGGACAGACCCAGCAGAGGGGGTAGCCAGTGGTATATATTCGGGAAGGAGTTGATGCAGAGCCGCAGCAGGTAACAGCAGAGTGTAAGTGGCTGAGAGGGCACTTCAACAGCTTCTCACTAACATAAATAAGAAAATGGATACAGCAGTCCATACCTTTAAATGGGTCTTGATCTTGCAGTTTGTATCACTGCTGACCTTTCTATAAGGCACTCTCCAATGACATTCTGCTGCCTAAAAATAAAGAAACAATCTAGAGAAATTAGCATTCTGGTATGTTGTTCTACAGATATTGCTATGTGAATATTGTGCTCTAACTTACTCTGTTGTCCTTAAGGTCACTGATCGTATATGAAATTCTGTGTGAGTCCAGGATCCGAGGAGTGAAGAACAAATCCTGCAAGCTATTGGAGAGACTTTGGCTCTTTGAGCTGCTCACCTATTGGGAACAAAATGATTGCACATTAGTCTGATGGCAACTGGAGTTTAGAAAGGCTCCATACGTTATTCAATGACCCATGTTCCCTTTGCACAAAGGGAGTATAGATTAGCTATTGATTTACAAAATTGCAGCCCTTAGATCTCAAGCCCATGCTCACTGCAAGTGTCTCTCCCCCTGCAAGGTAGATTGAGGTGATGGAATTTGTAGCTAAGCTCTTGAGACAAAAAAGAAAATTCTCTTTCTGCAAAATTAAGGTGTCAGAGAATATCTTCTATCTCTACCTATTTACTTTCATACTTAAAGAGCCTCAAGACTCCACAAGACCCTGATTCTAGATACTACCCTATTGGAGTTCATGGAGTCAATAGACAATCATCTAATTTAAATATGGACTACCAGCACTCAGCCTAATATGAGAACGGTGCGCAATATAGCCTTGTTTCTCAGACTGCAGTGTTGGCCGTTGGTGACCCCCTCCATTCTTTGTTCATCTCTCACTAGTCCTCTTTGAAAGAGATCCTGTCACTAAGTAATTGTTTCTTTAAGTTTAAGTAAAGGCTGTAATGTTACTAACACCTATGGATCTCCCAGCACAGGCCAGTAACCATTATAACTGAGTCCCAGACTATTTTTCAGCCATCCTGCTACATTTTGTCACAAAACTTCAGTCCCAAAATTTCAAATTGCTGGTATGCCATTTTTCCTGATCAATCTGGACTGATCATAGAATCTCCACAGTGTGGAAGCAGGCCATTTGGCCCATAAAGTCTACACCGACTCTCCAAAGAGCATTCCACCCAGACCCCTGCCCTATGACTCTGCATTTACCTTGGCTAGTCCACCTAGCCTGCACACCCCTGGACACTGTGTGCTATTTAGCATGGCCAATCCACCTAACCTGCACATCTCTGGACTGTGGGAAGAAACCGGAGCAAACCCATGCGGGCGTGGGGAGAATGCACAAATTCCATTCAGACAACTACCTGAGAGGTGGAATCAAACCCAGGTGCCTGGCGCTGTAAGACAGCAGTGCTAACCACTGTGCCATCTGAGGATGGTTCCTCTTTCACTGTCTTGAAATGAGTTATCTTAAAGTCTAACTGCTTAATCTTTGACTCTGTACACCTTCAGTGGGATTGTAAAAAGGTAATATTCACTATTTTCCAAATTTAGGCTACTTGTGTTGTGATATTACCTAGATCTGGATCTAACATTGCATTCTTCTTTGTTTAACACACAATATAACGATTAGAGAGAGGCTTAGGCCTCTCAAAGATCAAGGAGATCATCTTTGTTTTGAACCCGAGGAGATGGGAGAGACACTGTATGAATATTTCACATCAGTTTTTACTGTGGAGAAAGAAATGGAGTGTAGAGAATGCAGAGAAATAAACTTTGATGGAGGAAGAGGAAGTTCGGGAGATCTTAGAGAACATAATGGTGGATAAATCTCTGGGACCTGATCTAATGTATCCCAGAATGTTGTAGGAAGTAAGGAAGGAAATTACGAGACCCCTTGCAGAAATATTTGCATCATCTATAACTATGGGTGAGGTGCCTGATGACTGGAGGGTGGCTAATGTTGTACCTTTGTCTAAGAAAGGTGGTAAGGAGAAACTCAGAACTATAGACCTGCGAGTCCGACTTAGGTTGTGGGTAAATTGTTGGAGGTGATTATAAAAGACAGGACTTATGGACATTTAGAGAGGCAAAATTTGATTAGGATTAGTCAGCATGGTTTCATGTGAGGAAAGTCATGACTCACAAACTCGGTTGAGTTTTTTGAAGAAATTACCAAAAAGGCTGATGATGTCAGAGCAGTTAACTTGGATTTTAATAAAGCCTTTGACAAGGTTCCGCATGGCAGACTAATTAGTAAAGTTAAGTCACATGGGATTCAGGGTAAGCTTGCCAATTGGATACATAACTGGCTTAATGGCAGGAGGCAGAGAGTTAAGGTGGAGGCCTGTGGCCAACGGTCTTCCACAGGGATCAGTGCTGGGTCCTCTTTTGTTTGTCATTTGTATAAATGATTTGAATGAGAATGTAGAAGGCATGGTTAGTAAGTTTGCCGATGACACCAAAATTGGTGGCATAGTAGAAACTGAAGAAGGTTTTCTAAGATTGCAAAGGGATTTTGTTCAAATGGGTCAATGGGCTGAAAAGTGGCAGATGGAGTTCAATCTGGATAAATGTGAGGTATTGCATTTTGGTTCTACAAACAAGGATAGGGCTTATACAATTAATGGTAGGGCCTTGGGTAGTGTTGTAGAACAGAGAGACCTGGGATGCAGGTACATAATTCTTTAAATTCTTTATCACATGATATGATGGTTAAAAAGGCATTTGGCATGCTTGCTTTCATTGCTTATTCCTTTGAGTATAGGAGTTGCGACATTTTTTTGAGATTGTACAGGCCATTGGTGAGGCCTCTTCTGGAATACTGTGTGCAGTTCTAGTTGCCCAATTATGGGAAAGATATTATCAAGCTGGAGAGGATTAAGAATAGACTTATCAGGATGTTGCCGGATATGGAAGGTTTGAGTTATAATGAAAGGCTGGATAGGCTGGAACTTCTTTTACTGGAACATGGGAGGTTGGGAGGTGACCTGATAGAAGTTAATAAAATAATGAGAGGTACAGATAGAGTTGATAGTAGTTGTCTTTTCCCTAAGATGGGGAATTTCAAGACTAGGGGACACATTTTAAGGTGACAGGAGAGAGATTTTAAAAAGGCATAACAGGCAATTTTTTTTACCTAGAGGGTGATGAAGTCGTGGATGTGGGTACAATTACAATGTTTAAAAGACTTTTGGATGGGGATATGGGCCAGGAGCAGGCAGGTGGGACTAGTTTAGTTCGGGATTATGTTTGGCATGGACTGGTTGGTCTGAAAGGTCTGTTTCCATGCAATATGACTCTACGACTCTACAAGAAACAGTCCAGGATGCATTCTAAAATCTTTCACCATTTTAACTACTAATATTCACCACAGGATTGTTAAAAAAAAACACTCATTATTAGAATTTTGTTACTCCTAAGTACCTTTTTAAATTGCCTACAAATCTAACTTTAAGTTTATAGTTTACAGTGCATTTCTCATGCAGAGTCTCGATATCTTTATTAGTGCAAAACTCTGTTCTGTGTCCAAACAGTCGGTACGAATGAAGTTTGATTAAACATTTTCTTTCCAACACTATAATCTGAGTTATTCATTGTACGTAAGACTAGTATCAGCCACTTTTCCTTTAAACACCCTAAAAAATTACAGCCAAGCATATTTGTTTCCACTCTACCTCTACATGACTCAAATCTGTGTTAAGACTTTAGCAGTTTATATTTAGATGCAGACAACTGGTGGCTTGGTTACATATTTGGAAAGTAGCATTAGGAACTTTGGCAAACAGTAGGCCAGAGAAGTATTCCATTGGTCCTACTGGACTTGCATGGTATGATGTTGACTAATAACAATAGATGAGTTCAATGAATTTTCAGCCAGGCCGAGCTATAAAATGTCACCTCTAGTTTAGGAACAGAAAAATTTAATGGGCAGCTTGCTAACTGAGTTCCACAGAGTCAACTTCCATCTGAGAATCATGATATCCTGAGCTCTAACCCAGCAATAACTATGTGATGTCATGGGAGAGATTAAAAAGACAAAAAAATTAAGAAACACAATCAGGGAAAATAAATTCTGGGAAAAGCTTCACTCAACTTTTAATCAAAATGAGTTCCTGGAGATGTGTGATTATAAGGTGCATCACCCAACTTTTATATGGAATGATATCTACATTAGCCATGAACCCACCAACTCTTTTCTGAAAACTCGAAATGGATTCACGACCCCTGCAAGAGTTGGCAACTTATTCCAAAGCTGTACTACTTTCCGTAAACAAAAAAGTTATCTGCCATCAAATCTCAAGCTGCTTAAAAGCAATTTCTGCTTATTAACTCTAGTCTATTTAAGTTTTAAAATTCTGTGTGATACAGTCTCTCCTCTTTATTGTTACTATATATAGCTTCAATTACAGGTTTGTCAATGGAACTCTTAGCACAAATCGGATTATTTAGCAAATGTGGTCCAACCACAGAATCACAACCAATATTAAAGCACAGCGCACTCTTCTTTACAGACTAGAGAACATGTACATGCATTGAGCATGTTTCAACTTAACAAAACAGGCGATAGCCATTCTCTGGTTCATTGCTCAAAGCCCTGATCAATCAGTTCATCTACCTCGTTCAAATATAAACAAATATTGGTAGTTAACTGTCAGTCATCATCTAATTGGTGCATTCTCCCCGGTAATGTCTCTACCAAAAAGAGCCCAGATACCAATCAATTAGCATACACACAGTATAAAAATGTTGTTTCATTTTACGTTGGTATTCATGCAATGAATGCATAATGAAGAACTTTGCTAAAACATGTCTTTTTTCAGCAATACTTAAGAGTCTACACATCCAAATGACTGGAGACATTAGTTCCGAAATCAGACTGATTACTTTGTATTCACCCTACTCACAATTATACCAGCCCTTCCCAACTTATTTTGCAATATGACTCTATTTTAACATTTGGAAATGTGACTCCAGATGCCAACAAAAACAAAACTAAAAGGGGTCAGAGTGTGTAGCAGGTAGATGGGAATATCAAGTTGAGGTTACAATAAAATCAGAAGATTTAGAGATAGTAGGAACTGCCGATGCTGGAGAATCTGAGATAACAAGGTGTAGAGCTGGATGAACACAGCAGGCCAAGCAGCATCAGAGGAGCAGAAAAGCTGACGTTTTGGGCCTAGACACTTCTTCTGAAATGGGGGAGGGGAAAGGGATTCTGAAATAAATAGGGAGAGAGGGGGAGGCAGATAGAAGATGGATAAAGGAGAAGATAGGTGGAGAGGAGACAGACAGGTCAAAGAGGCGGGGGTGGAGCCAGGAAAGGTGAGTGTAGGTGGGGAGTTAGGGAGGGGATAGGTCAGTCCAGGGAGGATGGACAGGTCAAGGGGGCGGGATGAGGCTAGTCGGTCGGAGATGGGGGTGGGGTTTGAGGTGGGAGGAGGGGATAGGTGGGAGGAAGGACAGGTTAGGGAGGCGGGGACAAGCTGGGCTGGTTTTGGGATGCGGTAGTGGGAGGGGAGATTTTGAAGCTTGTGAAGTCCACATTGATACCATTGGGCTGCAGGGTTCCCAAGCGAAATATGAGTTGCTGTTCCTGCAACCTTTGGGTGGCATCGTTGTGGCACTGCAGGAGGCCCAGGATGGACATGTCGTCTAAGGAGTGGGAGGGGAAGTTGGAATGGTTCGCGACTGGGAGGTGCAGTTGTTTGTTGCGAACTGAGCATAGGGGTTCCACAAAGCAGTCCCCAAGCCTCCGCTTGGTATCCCCATTGTAGAGGAGGCCACATCTGGAACAGCGAATACAGTATACCACATTAGCAGATGTGCAGGTGAACATCTGCTTGATGTGGAAGGTCTTCTTGGGGCCTGGAATGGGGGTGAGGGGGGAGGTATGGGGGCTGGTGTAGCACTTCCCGCAGTTGCAGGGAAAAGTGCCGGGGGGTGGTGGGGCTGGAGTGGACTGTGGAGTGGTCAAGGGAGTCACGGAGAGAGTGGTCCCTCCGGAAAGCAGATAAGGGTGGGGAGGTAAAAATGTCTTTGGTGGTGGGGTCGGATTGCAGATGGCGGAAGCGTCAGAGGATGATGCGTTGGATCCGGAGGTTGGTGGGGTGGTACGTGAGGACGAGGGGGATTCTGTTTTGGTTGTTATTGCAGGGAGGGGGTGTGAGGGATGAGTTGCGGGAAATGTGGGAGACATGGTCAAGGGCGTTCTTGATCACTGAGGGGGGGCAAGTTGCAGTCCTTGAAAAACGAGGACATCTGAGATGTATGGGAGTGGAATGCCTCAAACTGGGAGCAGATGCGGCGGAGGTGAAGGAATTGGGAATAGGGGATGGCATTTTTGCAGGAAGGTGGGTGGGAGGAGGTGTATTCTAGATAGCTGTGGGAGTCGGTAGGCTTGAAATGGATATCGGTTTCCAGGTGGTTGCCAGAGATGGAAACAGAGAGGTCCAGGAAGGAGAGAGAGGTATCAGAGATGGTCCAGGTGAACTTAAGGTTGGGGTGGAAGGTGTTGGTGAAGTGGATGAACTGTTTGAGCTCCTCGTGGGAGCACGAGGCAGCGCCGATACAGTCAGCGACGTAACGGAGGAAGAGGTGGGGGATAGGCCAGTGTAGCTACAGAGGAGGGATTGTTCCACGTAACCTACAAAGAGGCAGGCATAGCTTGGACCCATGCAGGTACCCATGGCCAACCCCTTTGTCTGTAGGAAGTGGGAGGAATTGAAAGAGAAGTTGTTAAGGGTGAGGACGAGTTCAGCTAAGCGGATGAGGGTGTCAGTGGAGGGGGACTGGAATGGCCTGTAGCTTTTCCTACTTCATTTGTTCATACAGCAATAAATCAGCATAGTACTATTCAGTATACAAGTTCATATATTAAGAATCTACATATAATGTATCATGTAGATATGAAAATCTCTGGTTCTGAAAACAGTTTGTAAAATGTTAATATTTTATGTACTCACCAATTCATTATTGCACTCAGATGTATGGACTTGGTCAGGAAGCAATAGAAGCTGATGTTGGAGCTCAGGTTATACTGCAGTGGCAAGGGATGAGGATTGAGCACAGTTCAGCAGCAGCCCTATAGCCAGTGCATTCATGGTCGAGAACAGGCTTTGATGCTCAGTGGAATAACTGGGGCCCAGGTTCCTGGGAGTGAGAGATCAAGGCGTAGGCAAGGCCGGATACCACTTGGCCTCGATGTCAGTGTGGGGCACAAAGTTGGAGAATGACAGAGCTCAGGACTTCATTCATTGTTTTGGCAACACCAGTTGGGGATGGAATTATAGTGTGGGGAGTGCTCTTCTGTCCATTACCCCATTACATTTAGATCCAAATAAGGTCTTTCTCTCATTTGAAGGTTCTAATACTAGCACAAATATTTATGCAAACTTAATGTTGCCAGTTTCAAGGTTTAATTTTGAATTCCCGCCCCTTTGCCTATCTTATTAGCTGTGGTCCAGCGTTACAAACTGAAGAAGTTGTTGGCAACATGTGCCCCAATACCATTAAAAAATGGGTGGACAGCACTAAATGACTGTCGACTTGGTCTCCTCAGCATTGTGACTAATCCTCCATATTCTGTTTCCTGTTTTGGTTAGCTCTTTGTCAAATCTTACTGGAGTCTGATTTATTTTGGAAAGAACACCAGTAAAAGCATCCACTTGTTGAAATAACATGTTGTTAAGGATTTATTTCTACCTTGTTTGGGAGTTCTTCCAGCTGGTTATCCCTGTGCCAAAAATTCAAACCTAAAAGTTTTAAAAAAGCAAAATACTCCTACCCAAAAAATAAATCAACAAAATGTCATTAGAAATTCTTCATAAGCAGTTAAATCTGCTTTAAAATATGCTCAAACATGAACAAAACAATTTATCATTTATAACCTACTTGTTTTTTCCGAATTACAGGAGGAAAAGAGTTACCCAGCAGATCGTTGCCAATTGGAGGAAACACAACGGAATCTTTCACTTGGTTACATTCCTGCAAGACAATATTGTTATTTTAGTACATCTCAATTATTATAATTGTTTGAGTTATTTACAGGGCAGAAAGAGGCTTTTCAGTCCATCAAGTCCATACCATTCCATGGGTGGCTCAGTGGTTAGCACTGCTGCTTCACAGCGCCAGGGTCCCAGGTTCAACTGTCTGTGTGGAGTTTGCACATTCTCCTCATGTCTGTGTGGGTTTCCTCTGGGTGCTTTGGTTTCCTCCCACAGTCCAGAGATGTGAAGGTTAGGCATATTGGCCGTGCTAAATTGCCCACAGTGTCCAGGGATGTGTAGACAAGGTGGATTAGCCGTGGGAAATGTAGAGTTACAGGGATGGTGGGGGGGAGGCACTTGTAGGGTCACAGAGGACTCGATGGGCTGAATGGCCTGCTCCCACACTAGAAGGATTCTATAATTGTATGCCAGCTGCTCATGGAGAAACCTGGTCTGTTTCATTCCCTTCTCTCTGTCCTCATAGCCATGCAAGTTTATTTCCTTCAAGTACCTATCCAATTTCCTTTTAAAAACTGTTTTCTGATGACTGCACAGCATTGACCTCCTGTTGTAATTCCTGACATAATGAAGTAAGCCTTGCTGACGTACAGCAACACATTGAAAACATCCCAAACGTGTGCTGAGTGACAAGGAATATCTTCTGTATCACACAAAAGGCCATGCAATGACCATTTCTAACAAGGGAAAGCCTAAACACTTCTCTCTTAAGAAAGTGGTGGCCCTCATGAGCTGTAAACTCAGCTGGTACTGCCACATATGTGTCATGATTACTCAAGCAAGTCATGGGCTGGGAATGTAAAGTGAATTGATTACTTCCTAACTCCCTAAAGCCTCTTCATTCTTCAAAACATAAGCCAGAAATGTGATGTTCTCCATTTTGATTACACTGCCTCCCCCCAACTCATGAGTCTTTGTTTACTCTCAACAGTGCCCACCTATTTTCTATTATTAAACCTTACCATTAACACCTCTTCTGTATCTATATCTCTCCTTTACTACCATTAGCACTCACTTTCTGTTTTGCTCTGGGCGCCTTCATCTGTTTGACTTGTTCTTCCCTCTTGTAATCAACGGCATAATAAATATTATTTTCTAGCTCCCTCCATTTCTGAAAAAGAATAATAATGGACTAAAAACTTTAGCTCTGTTTCTCTGTCCACAAACGCTGCTGCTGTTTGCCAACTCTTCCAGTTTTTATTTCGGGTTTCCAACATCCACAGTACTTTGCTTTCATTTGGGAGTGGAATGTCTACTCTCCTTCCTTATAGCTGCTGCAACATTCAAGATGCACAAGACTGCCCAGGGCAGTGTGACCTACTTAATCAGCATCACATCCATCAACTTAAACATGTATTGCTGCAGCTAGGTTCGAGGATGGAAGTGCTTACTTTTTACAGGATGCATTGCAGTGATTTATCAAGACAGCACTACTAAATGATGGCTCCTGGCACCTCAGAGGACAAAAAAAGCAGACCCACAGGAACACCATCCCCTGAAAGATGTCCTTAAAGTTACATAGCCTGCTGACTCAGACATGTGTATTAAACAAAGTCAAGAACTGCAGATGTTGGAAATCCGAGACATAAACAGAAATGGCTGCAGAAACTCAGCAGGCCCGGCTGCATCTGTGGAGAGAGAAGTTCAGAACGTTTCGAGTTCAGTGACTCTTCTTCAGAACATATATAAAGCATATATATCGATATATCAAAAAGTAACACACAAACATAAATGTATATTAAACATATTGGCATTTGATGATGGACCCACAGCACCCAGCTGCCTCCCAAAGGGCACTAAAGAAACAATGCGTTTTCATAGCACATCATGAATCTCTAAACCTAACCCAACCCTAATGCAGGACCATTCAGCCAATGAAGTACTTTTGAAAGTATGTAGACAATGCAGCAAGCAATTTACGCACAGCAAGACCACGTAGAAATAAAAGTCAAAATTCCAAGTAGTGACCTCCACTTATTGGGGAGTAGGGTCTTAGGTTAAATAAATAAGAAAAAATATTCACTCACTTTGCGTACTTTCTTCTGTGCTACAATGCCGTTCATGTAAGAGGTCCACATCTTGCAATGTTGTGAGAATTTCCTTTATAAACAAGGCCTTTGCTTGCCCTCAAACGGCTCCGCTTGCGTTATCCCTCTCAAACCGAATCCTTGCCAAACAGAAACAAAACAAAAATCAGAAGTAGTTTGGAGAGGATTTTGCTTCACTCCTTCGTCTGCCGGGTCCGGGCAGCGGATCTGCAGTCAGCACCTGGGGTTGGAATGCCTTACTTTTTCTCCCTCAAAGCCAGCATCTGGCAGCAGACTGGTGTAGCTCCTCTCAGCACCTCAGTATAGGGGGCCGAGTTAACATGATTCACGAGGAAGGTGGCTGGGTTTATATACTGTTTCACCCCAAGTTAGAAAAGGGGGTGGGTCTGTCTTAGAAGAAATAGCTGCCACAAACGCTGAGGGAGCCACCATCGTACAAAACAGCTCAAATAAAACACTGATGGCTCCCGACAACACAAACAGTAATTCTAGTCATAGCAACGAACATCTACCTCGTACTTTTCTTTGGCCCACGTTCCGGGTGTCCAATTGTTTAGTCTAAGCAGTTATACACAATGTGATAATTATATATACAGCGAGTCTGTCAGGGGCTTTCATGGCTAACAGCCAGGGTGAATATTACACTCTTGGATTCAGCTTAAAAAAGCTTTGCAAATATTTTGACCGTACTTTAGACGATGCACAAGACAACAAATGCCTATCTCTTTTGGTTAGGGGCCTTCAGGGTTCGGCCAGTTCCCCAGTTTCATAATGAATTGACTTGTGTGAGTTTGGATGAGTTGGTTTACAGATTGCACATTAGCATCTGAATGTTGCAAAATGTGACCATTCGCCAACCAGCTTAACAGAGCACTTTTCTCGCCACATTGCTGCAGACACTCTAAAATGTTGTGATCCAACCCTCCGGATGTTCATTGTTTACATCGGACTCAACATCCGCACCAGACTTCACCGGGGGACACATCTCGTTTAAATGTGTTTTGCTCCTTAAAAAAAATGCGCGCAGGATTATTTGATGCAGAAATAAAATTGTCTGTCACAATCTCATCTGTCACTGTCCAATGGAGCGGTAAAAGCAAAATACTGCGGATGCTGGAAATTTGAAACAAGTACAGATAATTCTGGAGAAACTTGACGGGTCTGGCAATAACCATACAGAGAAAGAGAGAGACGGGGTTGTTTGGAATGGGGTATGACCAGAATAAGATTTGCCGGCCGTGTCCTGTCTTCCTGCTCAAGAGCCCAGCTTTATAGAATTGTTTCAGAGATAGTAAGAACTGCAGATGCTGGAGAATCTGAGATAACAAGGTGTAGAGCTGGATGAACACAGCAGGCCAAGCAGCATCAGAGGAGCAGGAAGGCTGACGTTTCGGT